TTCATTAAAGTAAAAGTGGTTTAGTTACATAAATTGACCACAATACCCAAAATCAATCAGAGCATAACTAATTCAACCAATTAATACATGCCAACTATACTCAAAATAACCCAAAACATTTAAATTCTCTATTTTCTGATCTGAAATTTTTGTAAGGGAGATGCTGACCTGTCTTACTCTTCTTCGTTTCTCTTCTAGCTTCTGTAACCTACGTGTGAAACAATCACACGCTAAGTATATGACTTAGTGAGGAATAAAAACTTATAATGCACTTTATAACATATATCAATACATGCATGTTCTGTTCTATCATGCTATACCAAATTACATGATTCCCTCATATCATGAAAAATCATATCAGATTAATTACAATAAATAAATATATACACATAACTCATCATTAGCAGATTATCATGTAATCACATACTTTTAGGCTTAACCTTTTCAATCAAACACTATACACACATAACATCATATCATTTGTATAACATTTATCATATCACTAACATATATTTGTTTATATCTCTTGATTAGCCCATGTACATATGTGAGAACTATAGATATGTGAGTTTATGGAGGTTGTGCACTAATGCTGTCACCACAGCTCATATAAATGCACCGAAGTGCCTCATAGAATTGCACCGTAGTGCCGCGTAGAATTGCACCGTAGTGCCGTATAATAATGTCCATAAGGACCACATATCATTCCTTAAGAATCATATACATATACTAGGGATCAAGTATATGTCTCACCATACTTCACACATGTTCCAAAGAATACATATATGTCCCGAATGACCACATATCATTCCTTAAGAATCATATACATATGCCAAGGATCAAGTATATGTCTCACCAGACTTCACACATGTTCCAAAGAATACATATATGTCCCGAAGGACCACATAGACCCTCGACTCTTGGCATGCCAACTATACCCCTAGCTCTCATGACACATAACATGGGCATTGTCATTTATATCATTTTACTTCACTTATTCATATCATTTCCTTTCTGTCACGTACCACATGTACGTGTAATCATTGATCTTACAATCACATATTTCATATAGTCACTTGGCTTATTTCATTTCACATTGGGCATGTCTCATAGCATATATCACACATGCATATAATCATGTAACATATATAATAACCTATATCCATTTCATGTATCCATGCACATATCAAAATCATAAATCAAATAACATTGTATTATTACATACTTTGTTCCATAGCCATATATTTACATATCTTATACTTACCTAGTTTACTCTATTTCACACATAGTCACATAATCACGTAATTTACTTACGCATAGATCATTTTCATACCTAAATCATATAACACCCAATTCTTCCTCATAAAGTTATATATTATATTCATATAATATCATATTATCCTATAAGTAAATACTTATCTTATGGTTTGGTATCATCATTTATACTCAATTCCCTTCACTAATATATTATTCTCATATTACTCTATAGTCTAATCTTATTTAACTCATCACCTTTCTCATGTAGTCATATAAATCTATTATATTAATTCTTATACTTGATCACGTATACTATTAACATGTATGGTCACCTATCATATAACCTATTTCACATTCCCATGCAACCATATAGACCATTCATATTAATTCCTATACTTATCACAATACATGTATTCACACAATCATTTAACGCATATTGTAATATTTATCACATACCCAAATCAAACATATGCCTATGATCATAAATTAATGCATTCTAATATAGGAAATAGACTTGTCGCAAGTCTTATTTCCATTAAACATCATAAACTAACTTGTATGCACTCACCTGGCCTCACTAGTCCATTCCAATCTCTTATCTTCCCTTTTTATCGATCTTACTTGTCAATGATTCCGGAACTCGTTTAGGCTCTGAATCTACATAATTATACATTTTAAGACAATTATTAGATACCTACACCTTGTAATTTGATACTAGCAACTTAAACGAACTTATTAAACCAATATTTACAATTTTCCTTTAGGGGGAATCGGTTCCCTACTATGGGGGTATCGATTCCCTCATGACATTCTGGAAATTTTTATTCGTTTGAAGGGGTATCGGTTCCCCTTGAATGGGTACCGATTCCCCTTGCCCAGAAATCATATTTTTGAGCTCAAAATTCACTTCATTTCAGCTTAAACCTTCATATTTTACTTCCTTTAATATTCCTAACTTCCATACACATATTTAAACTCATTTCTATTCCATAATCACTTCTTTAAACCCAAAATTCCATCATTTACATGGCATTCAAGAATCACACTAAATTTTCAATGTGTTCTAATTCCAATTCTAACACTTCATACTTCTTAATTAGATTGATGACAAGTCAAATTCATTCATAAAACTTCAACAACCATACCATATCAAAATTTCATCTTAAAACTCATATTACAAATTCCTTCTTAATTCCTTTATCTTATTGTTTAAATCCCATATAAGCTTTCCTTAAGCTTATTTAATACCCAAAGAATCAAAACTAATTTATAAATTCAAGAATTAAGAAGCTGAAAGTAAACTCACCCTTATGAAGTAAACCAACGGGAAGAAGAAAAAAGAAGAATGAAGCTTTCCAGATATTTCCTCACCCATAAGCTTCTCTCTTTAAATAAGAGATAAATATCTTTTATATAAAAAGACCATAATACCCTTTCAATTCTTCCATAATTACCATTTAATCCACTATCAAAATATTACACTTTAAATCCCTAAACTTTTCAATTTTTCCTAAATTGATCACCAATTTCTGAAACTTTTCAATTTAGTCACTAACCCGGTATTGCGGATGTTACACTGACGTTCTCGAAGCTCATGTTTTCCGCTTATATTTATTCTGGCTTATTCCTTGTATCGTTTTTCGGTACATCCTCTGCAATGATCCTCGTCCTCAATAACATGTATACATCCTTGACTGAATATATATTGACGTAATACGCTTAATATGGTTACATTTGTTGTAACCTACTACTATGATTGTTTCTAGGTATGTTTGGTTATTTATGTCCCCCACAGATTAAGTCTTGTTATTATGGATCATCCTTTGCTTTTACGTGCCATAAACGAGTCAAAACCAACCATCCAAGTGGGTAGTATCGATACTCTACTTGCAATATCGATATTCTAGTGTTAAGTATCGATACCCCCTATGAGTAACGATACAAAAAATGCATTCTGTTGTGAAAAATGGGCCTCAATATCAATACTCTCACCCTGAGTATCGATACTTTAGGGACAATATCGATACTGCCATAATTTTTACCCCAGTTCATCCAATATTGATATTGTTCATCCAAAAATGGTTAATTTAGACTCATGAATCACCCAAAAACCACCATAAATTCTTTGGTTTGGTTTCTAATCTTATTCTAAAGTTTTAGGGAGTTGATTAGGGTCTTAAAGTATAAAAATGTTTTCTAAACTCCTAAAATGTCATTTGATCTTGATACCAAATATAAACCCTAAAATGTTTAAATACTCAAACTTATGAAATACTTGAAATTTATGAAAGCTTAATACTCCAAATGATTATAAATACACTACCTTGATACAAGGATCCTGAAATAAACCTCCTTGCTTAGCCACACTACCTTTCTTAGTGATTTGGATGAACCTTTTTCTTTAGCTAGAAAGAACCCAAGACTTTGATTCAATGAAACAATGTTGCTAGAGGGGTTTATAACGAAAATGAAACATGAAATTGACCCAATATTTTACCTTTTCTATGGAACTTGAAGAAGAATGAGGGAGAAGGAAATAAGAGAAATTGAGAGAAGATGGTGATGAAAGGTATAAATGCCTTCATCTTTTAAAAATGGAAAAGTTGCACTCTCGGTCCTCCATCACCTTTCCATAATTCATAAATATCCTTTCTATTGTTAATTAGGTCCAAGTCCAACCCAGTTAAGTCCAATGACTTGAATTATTAAATTTGCGGGGTCTACTTATCTCTCGGGTAAACCCGAAACTACTAGCCCTGAATTTGAGAAGTTATACGAAAGCTAACAAACTTAAAATTATCAAGCTTGACCCAAACTTGAAATAAAAAATCGAAGCTCGAATCGAACTCGAAAAAAATGAAGCTTGACTCGATATCAAAAAACTTGAACTCGAAATATTATCAGACTTAGATCGAACTCGAGCTCAAACCTAAACTTTAAGTACATGAAAAATGTGCATTGCACTTTTTTATAAAAAAAATTGTTATTAATAATTTAAAAAATAAAAAATAATATATTTTATCAAGTTTCTCGTGAGCTTTTCAAGTTGAGTATCAAGTAGTTTATTTAGGCTTGTTAAGAACTCGAGTCGTATCTAAGCTCAAATTAAGTCCATTTAAATAAATGCTTAATCAAATCAAACTCGAATAACTCACGATTTATCTCATCTCAAACCCTAACGATAACCCAACGTTTGTGAATTACGATCTTATGAATATAGTTCATATGGATAATAACGAATCATTGATTAATCTTTTGAGCAATACATTTTTTTCTTGTTTCTATTCCTATAGTGTTGGTGCTAAAAAAAAGGGGAAGATGTGTAATACTAAGGGTAAATTACATGATATATCACTGAATATTTGGTGTTGTAGTGTTTATATCATTAAACTTTAATTTCCGTTTTAATTATATCGTTAGACTGTTAAATCATTAACGATACGATAACGTGACTAATGACTACTGACATGGATACTACATCAAAACGATTTCGTTTGAGAATTATCATTAAAAACTATTCACTTAAAAATAAAACTCACATTCAATATAACTTTGTCAAAACATGAATATAACAAAAATCTAAGGAATAATAATTCAATCACTCCATGCAAGCATCAAATCATATAATTAAATTAACTAAACTATCTATTAGATGTAATACATAGGTTTTAATTTTCTTGAAAATATAGAGAAATATATACATATATTTTAACATATCCTTATCCAAGAGGTAAAATACCTTTTCAAACCCCCAAGTGATTAGGAGGTGAAGAAGAAGCTATAGTTTGAGTCATAGCAATGGAATTAACACCAAGATGATGGTCATGGTTATGAATATCGGGTCGGGTATTTGTAATTTCTGTAAAATTCGAATCCGGGTTCAAATACTTCATCATCTTGCTCTTAGTATACATCCCATACACATAGGAACAAAAGCCCCAGCCACACATCACGGTGGAAACAGTCTTGACGCCACCGAACTCGTCCCCATAAACCACCACCCCACCCACCACGTTCATCAGCAGCAGCGCCGTCATGCAGATGCCTCCGGTCAACGAACACGTCAAGAACACCATACCCGCCGTCCCCATGAAGCAAAGCTGCCAACTCACGACGTTCGAAACCACCGTCACCAAATAAACCCTCTCCCCTTTATCAAACACCCCACTCCCTTCCCTCTTCATCTCAACAAACCCACCGTCGAACGCCATCCCGACGCTCGCCAACGCCGTCGCGGCAACCTCCATCACCAGCTGTATTTCCATCACCATCACATAACAATACACCTTCTTGTACACCACCTCCATGATAGGAAGATACAACGCGAAAAGCAACCCCGCACCGATGGTCGAAAAGTACCCGATGAAGTACTTGGCTGGGGTTAAACCATGGGGCTTATAGTTGCTCGATTCCAAGGCTAACAACACAGAAGATAACGTTAACAAGATGACACAGTTCAGGTTCATGAAAGTGATCTTCTGCTTCACGATGATCACAGATAGAATGAGATTGAACACCAACTGAGATGATAAAAGAAGAGACGAAGTCGACACAGGTAGATAAGAATTCCCCCACGAGAACATCAGGTTGTTTAAGCCTAACATGAACCCTATGAAGATCGACAATACCAGAAGCTTGGGGGTGAACCGAGTGAAGGGTTTACGTTCAGTGGACTTGAAGACATAATAAGGTAGGAGAATGGGGATTACAAGTAGAGGAAACCCGGCAGATTGAACCCAAGTCGAAACCCATCTGCTCGAGCCCTTGTGGATGAAATAATACTTAGACAGCAAGGTCGAAGACAAAGAACCAACGAAGAGGAGGGCGTAATTGAGCAGCAAAAGAGGGAGGTAACGCTTGTTTGACATGGGAACAGCCATTTGGTGAGCTCCATTGGAGTTGTTCATGGTTGGTTTTGGTTTTGGTGATCAAGACGATGGAAATTTCACCCATTTTTCTACTAATATGGCTGTGGTTTCTTCGCACCAGTCCGTTGTGTTGGGAAGTATGAGAACAAGAAAATCTGGGCTTGATGCTAAAGGACCTGAGATAAAGGAGTGAAGCCACCCCTTCCATTGGATTTGAAATTCTTTTATTCCATAGTACACGACTCCACTTACTTTTTTCAACATAGCATCTGATTTCTTGCTTTAAAATGTAATTCCAAACGTGCCTATTTTAGACATCGATGAAAATAAATATAATCCAACCAACTAATCCGCTTATTTAACTCATGGTTGATTGTATTATAATTACACTTAATTTTTTATTAAAAAAATTTAAAAAATTAGAGTATAACGATGTTAAATTAGAGGGATTGTAATTATGGACGTTGATGTCGGTTCATCTTTTTCTGATATAGATTGAGAAGGTAAAATTGTTTGGATGGGGTGTTGAAGAAAAGATTCGTTATATCAGAGACAGAGTCATGATTCTAGTTTAAGGAGTCAAAATATAATTAACAATAAAAATGGGAGTGACAAAATCAAAATAAACCAAAACTTGAAGGGTCTAAATATGTATTTATCCCTATATATATATTTTTTAATAATAAAACAAATGGAGAATTGTGGCCTCCTGAAACTATAAATAGTTCCTTCACTAGCTGGTATAGGGCATGGGAGAATTATTTTCTCAAAAAGGATGATATGAACAGTACACATTGGAATACTAGGGAGCACGGCACATCTTCGATTTCGTCAAGGAATACGCATGGACTGCAATGCTTCTTTAATTTCACGGAGAAGACGCATGATGTTCTCGACGTCTCCTAAAGACGCATGATGTTTTCGACGTCTTTACGTTAGCACTATAACAAATGTTCTATTTCAATAAATAATCTTTCGAGAGCATTATATAGGGAACTTTTTTCCTAAAATATTATTCAAGTATTTTTGTCAATTGAGGTATGATGAGAAATTTAAGATATACAAGTCACTAATTACGAGAGAAATCTACTTTAAGTAACGATCTTTTAATTTTAATGATGGTAATTTAAATTTAATTAAATCGATTAATAAATTAAAATCATTAATTCTATAACAATATAATAAAAATTAACAAGATTAGTTTTTATTTAAATCGTTTAAATGGGTAAAACATAAACCTTTGTATTTCAAAATTTTGATTAATTAAGTTTTGCTTGTCCTCTGTACTTTGAAAAATATATTCCTGGCATTAGTCTTTTTCATTACTTTTAATATTTAAAGTCACTAACATTTATTCTTCTAGTACGGTGGGAATCATGGAAACTAAGAAAGTAGAATTGATGGCTATTTCAATTGCATTTAGATATGGTAACGCATTTCAATTGCATTTAGATATGGTAACGCAGTCTTAATATACGATTAAAGAAATATATTATTGATTTTATTATTATTTTTTTAACAAAAAGGTAAAAAATTACCTAAAACATTAATGTTTTTTAATATTTTCGGTAAAGTGTCCAATAATAACAAAATCGATAAAAAAATAATGTTTTAAGTAGCGTTTTACTGGATATGTTAATAAAACCGATAAAACGTCTAATAATAACAAAACCGGTAGAAATAAAAATATTTCTGATGATTTTTTACCGGTTTTGTTAAAAAAATAATAACAAAACTGGTAACGTCTTTCCTTAACCGTATATTAAGGCTGCCGCACGTGAGAGTTTCCCAATGGAATGAGAATAGAATTTTGCTTGGTTACACTCTAGTTTTGGTATAATAATTTTTATCTTAATTTTAAAAAAAAATTAGTTCACTCTCTCGATTAAAAAAATTGTATACTTAATCTTTACTTGATTTTAAAATTTTAAATAAAAAATACGAATTAAGTGATTTTAGTGGAGGACCAAGCTATTAAGAAGGTGGCAGGGGCTCTTGCCCATCCTAAATTTTTTGATGTAATAGCATTTTAAGTCTTATTTAATTTAAATATTAGTTAAATAAAACTTTTGTCTCTCCCGATTTTTTTTTATTTAAATATTTCATTTAACCTTGTTCTTTCATTGTAAAGAAAATTAGCCCCGTCCAATATTTGATCCTAGCTCCGTCTCTGACTTCATAGGTTAAAGGATGTGTGTTCGTCGTCAAATGATTGAGAGTTTTTCGAGCACATACTATCACTTGTAATCATTCTAAATTAATAAAAAAATTAAATAAAAACATGAAACGTCCCACTAAAAAAATTAATAGAAAATTTAATTGAGTGGTTTCACCTTATCTAATCTTAAAATTATAACATAAAATTTTTTAATTAAAATTAATTTTTTTTAAATTTATTAGTGACAATTGCATCTTTGAAATTTTTAAATTTTTATATAATTTAAATATTTTATTTTTATTTTTTAGTAATTTAATTTATTACCCTCTAAAATTTTATAATCTCTCATCTCTAAATTTTTAATATAATTTCTTAAAAAAGTATAGTCTTAATATAAAATCATATCCATATTCACATATATGTACATATAATAAATATATATCTACAAAAAAATTGGAGTATTGTAACTATTTTTTTGATTAATTTAAGAGGACGAATCTCAGATCTAAGGTATTTTTTTTCTTCCATTTAGGTGTAGGGAAATTTTTTTAACGATGCCTTAGGGGCTGTTTGTTTGCCTCTTAATGGAACCATTCAGCGCTGAATGTTGAATGATTCAGCATTCAGCGTGTTTGTTTCGCACCTCTGAATGATTCAGTGCTGACTGATTCAGCAAAACAGTGTTGAATGATTCAGCACAGAAGTACATTATGAATGATTCAGAGTCAGTAAACAAACAACATGTCACATTCAGAGCTAATTCATCCAGAGCCTCTGAATCATTCAACATTTGAATCATTCAGCATTTGAATCATTCAACGCTTAATCATTCTAAAGTAAACAAACAGCTCCTTAGTCTTTGTTTCATATTGTATTTACTTTCGTAATATAATATTAATTACCCTTTTAAAAAAAAAAGATTCGCGACCATTTGATAATGAATGTTCAAATACCCTTTAATCTATGGTATACGAATTTAGAATCTCCTTAGATAACAATCATTCTTTCAACTAAAGTAACTTGATTCGTATAATTAAATATTATAATTAAATCTTGATCTAAGATACATGAATATAGAATATAGAAAAATGACCTGGAAGGCACACTGACTCGTTCCAAAGTCCTATTAAATGGCCTATATATAGGGCTCTAAATGAGACGAGAAAAATCGTGAGTTACTCGAGATTGACTCGATAAAAGTTTGATAAATACTCAACTCGAGTTCTAACAAATCGAAATATATTATTTGATACTCGACTTGAAAAGCTAGTGAGTAGCTCGAAAATATTATATATTAAGATTTTATTTTTTTTAAATAAATTATTAATAATATTAGCATTTATATGTTGATTTTTTTTTAAATGTAGGATAAGATTTTCATGTATTCAAGATTCAGGTTCGAGTTTCAGTTTGAGACTTCAAGCGAGTTAAGTTTAAGATTTTTTTTCCATTTCGAGTTTTTATGAGTTTCAGTTCATGGTTTCAAGTTCAAATCGAGCTTGAAAATTTTAAACTCGAAATTTTTCGAATTGAGTTTCATTTTAAAGTTTTCGAGTCAATCGAGTTCAGCAATAATCGTTTACCGGTCTAATGCTTAGGGCTCATTTCCAACATAACATACATACCATAAACATGTCTTAGCACCGAAATAACATACACTGACAACAATCCTAGAATATATCATGCTTACTAATATGGCAACATTTAGGCGTAGGGATAGAATGACTCTATGGATTCTATTTGATCCGATTATATAAAGTTGAATGTTTAGTTTTTAAATTTGATTTTTTGTCGATTTTTTAAAGATGAAGTCGAGTTGGATTCAAGTTTAAAATAAAAATTTTTATCTTATTCGACCTAAAAAAATGTAACCATCTCTAATATATTTAGGCATAATTACAATAATGCTCCTATCTCTATAGTTTTTTTCCAATTAGGTACATGTTTTATCGAATAAAAATGAATATATATATATACATAGGGTTAATATCCATGCACAAACTGAGTGAACAGTGCATGTTAGACCAAAAACACATCTTTAAGGTACAAAAATAAGTGTTTAAACTGTCTTAAAAATTATATTAGTGGTTAAAGAATTTTTTGTTAAAAATAAGTGTTTAAAGATTTTCTGTTATATTTTTAGGTACCAACCATTAAAAAACCTCGTTAAATCCAAAAACAAATAAAAGTTCAATAGATCAAAAACTTTTGTTTGAACATCCAAGAAAAGCATCAATGATTAAATGAATTAAGAGGTAAATACAATTTCAAACCCCAAAACGATTTGGAGGTGAAGAAGAAGTAGAACCTACCATTGGAGCCATCTCAACATTCTTAACATGCATCCCATCATGACCATCATCATCATCATCACCATCACCATCACCATCACCATCACCATCATGCTCCAAATCCTTCATCATCCTATTCTTAACATACATCCCATACACATAAGAACAAAAGCCCCACCCGCACATCACGGTGGAAACAGCCTTAATCCCACCGAAATCATCCCTATAAACCACCACCCCACCCACCACGTTCATCATCAGCAACGCCGTCATGCAGATCGCCCCGGTCAACGAACACGTCAAGAACACCATCCCCGCCGTCCCCATGAAACAAAGCTGCCAACTAACGATGTTCGAAACCACCGTCACCCAATAAACCCCCTCCCCTTTATCTAACACCTGCACCGCCTCCCTCTTCATCTCCGTAAACCCACCGTCGAACGCCATACCGACGCTCGCCAACGCCGTCGCGGCAACCTCCATCACCAGCTGCATTTCCATCACCATCGGATAACAATACACCTTCTTGTAAACCTAAACCATCTCCATGA